CTGCTCACTTTTTCTTTAGATCTCAGTGCATTTGGAGAAAACTAAAAATCCTCACGTGGTATTTAAGGTTCAAATCTGGGAGAAGTATAATCCTGGGAAAGAAAAAAACATTCATCAATATTTAAGGTGGGAAAGCTCATTTCAATTTCCTGTTCTGCTGAACTTCCCAGTGCACATTGGAAAGTAACTTCAAGCTGATTACACGCAGTTGAAATAAAGCTGGCACTGGCCCCTTACTTTTGTTCTTCAGTCAGGAAGTCTGTATGATAGCTAGAGCTTTTGAACAAACACAGCAGCTCTTCCCAATCCATGAGTGTCAAAGTCAGATGGAAAACTCCGAAGATTAAAAGTTGCTCAGGCACTTACAACAGAGAGTACGGCATAAAGCTGTAAGATTTTTCTTGCATTCTTGTTTATTATACTAGCATCTACTGTTGAATGGCACATTTCAAAATAATTTCACCTGAGGAATTTGGGGTGCAGTCTTGCATAAAGTCAGTGACTGGAAGAGTTTTTGAGACCCAAGTCTTTTTTTCTTACAGAAATCTGATTTCCATCATCATTCTTTGGGACATAATTTGGAGCTGCTCCTGAAAAGAGGCAGCTTTTCCCTTCTTTTTGCTCAGATTAATGTTCATGTACCTGCATGATGAATCAGTCTAGGGAGTGACTTGGTCAAAACTAATTCCCCCCTTCAATGTTTTGTTTTGTCATTATTTACAGAAAGAAAATAAAATAATATACATGTTTGAAATTGCACAGAAATTATATCTTGGATACATATCTCAAACACTTGCATTTATGCACAGATGTTAAACTAATTAATATAAATAGAAATTTTAAAAGGATAAATAAAACAGTCTATTAAAAATAATATCATATTGAGACATGTTTTATGTGTTATTAGATATAAGAAATATAAAAAGCATAATTTTTACTAAAAAAATCCACTGCTATATCACATACAAAAATTTCTGATCTATCAATTCGATTTTGATGCTGAAATTAGCTCAGTTGTTTAGAGCATGATGCTAATAACACCAAAGTCAAACAGGGGTTTGATCCCTGTGTGGGCCATTCACTAAAGAGTTGGACTCAATGATCCTTGTGGGTCCATTACAATTCAGAGTATCCAGTGATTCTGTAATTTTCACACATATACCTAACTTCATTGAACTCCAGTGACTATTGTTTATATCCTTACAGCTCAGAGTGCTGCTGGCCTAGATATAAGGGTGGGGATTATTCTCAGGCAGTACAAAGTAAATGATGATTACCTCAATCTGCCAAAATTTTTGTCTGTAATTGTTATACTGCAGAATGTACCCCAGATCAGCATTGTGTGTTAAGTTCTGTTTTGCATTGCTTGATTATGTCCATGACAGAAAATGATTACTGTCACCTCCCTAGTGGCTACAAATTGAAGGTATTGGTTTTGAGTAATTTATTTTGCCTGAAGAATGGTATAACTTTTTCCTATAAAGGATTCCTTTAAGCACTATTTCAAAGGAAGCATTCAATCTAGTGTTCTGCAGTCTGGATAATGACTAGTCTGGGCTTAACCTCTCTTGTGTTTCTATTACCTCTAAACTGTAAGAAGTGCTTATGAAATGTCACATACCTACCCTGCTATTCAATTCGTGCTCACATCTGAAGTCTTTCAAATCTCACAAAAGAATTGGTAACATCATTTATCAGCCTGTGCACAGTTTTGAGATCCTTGGCAAGGAGGAATAATAGGATTGTAAAATCCTTTGTTTGTTTTTAAGATTTTTTAAATATCAAAATAAGAATTGAATTCTATTTCTATATTTCAGCAAATATACTGCCTCCAGTGGACTATTTCAAGTCCTATTCAAACCAAGGGCATGATTCTCTACCTTCCAGGGCACTTGCATCAGGACTCAGAAGCGTCTCACAAACCCTAGTGATGTGTTGGATGCTGCATATCACTTAGAGCTAATTGAAATTCAGTAGTGAATGACAGCATTCAATATCACACCACGAATATTAATGCAGAAGGGAAGGTTCCCTGCTGACTGTGCACCTGAGAGGACCAAAGCACACTGTTTCTAACTGACGAGAGCTAACACATCTAGTATTTGTGAGCCGTGCTTGCATGTAACCCCAAAAAACAATAAAACCTCACCACTACCACACTTTTCTCCCCAAATGCTTTCCAGTTCTTCAGCAGCACAAGTTATAAGCATGTAGGACTAGCATAACTAACCTTCTCTCTGTTAGTAATTACATTGCCTCTGATTTCTCACACTGCCACAGTAGTCTCTGTGTGTCTCTGTACTCAGCTTTCCTGTGATTTGGGATGCCCCATAGGGCTGTCCAACTTGTCTAAAATGAGAATGAGAAGTTATTTTCAAGTTTCAAATCTGAAGCATGACTTCAGTGCAAGAAGCTATGGCAAATCTCAAAGAACATCACAGGTAATAATTGTGATTAGAGCCTAAAACCCAGTACATTTTTCTTGGGGAAGGCTGTGAACATAAGCTCATTATAAATACGTACCTACCCCATGTGGCCTTTGAAGAATGACAATATGCTATCACAGCAACATGGAACCACTGTAACTACTTTCCTTAATGACAGTGTTTTTCTACTTTTTGATGCAACTCACATATGAAAATTAGATTATAGTTTCAGTATTATAATTACTGGAAGTGTGTTTTTGGAAAGGAATGCAATAAATACCCATGGAAAAAATATTCTTCTTTGATTAAATGGTGTATTTCCAATAAGAGTAAATCATGAGGATTCTTCACTTTTAGTGGTTTCTTTTTTCCTGCATTTTAATATTTGTGAAGCCACCCTTACTTAGGACAAGTAATTTAAACTAGTTGTCTTTACTGTGAGGGTTGATTCTGCATTTAATATCAGTTATTAATTCCTAATACATGGAACTTACAGAAAGATCCAAAGAAGACTTTAGATTGACCATTGATGCTCATCTGACAATGAACTGAGCACATTTCACATCTGGACAGGGAAAGAGGAGGGCCTTGTACTTTAGACACAACCAGGGTTAGTTAGCTGCTGAATTAGTGTTCTTCAGATTTCAGTTTCTGCACTTGTGTCTTTATCCGTGTCACTTCCCACAGTTTGGGCTGTCGTTTTACTGGTTATTTTAAAACAAAGCCATTCAGTTCATTCCCTTTCTCTTCCCAGTCTTACTGCTAGTTATGAAATACCTCAAAGTTGGAAGTAACAAATTGTCTTGACAGCCCAAGAGCTTTTCTTCCTTCTTTTGTTTCTCATGCTCTGTTGTAGAGTCATTAAGCCACTAAAGGAGAAGGAAAACAAGGACACCTCCAGTTGCAAGCTTCAATAATTGGGAAGCAGAAAACAAATGTAAAACAGCAGAGAGAGGAGTAGGAAAAAGAATCCTCCAATTTTTAGTAGTTGATTCTATAGGTAACTGAAGAAATTTTTATTTCTTCTTTTCCTATCTCCCCCCCAGTGTCTGTGCATCCAATTTCACATGTTCATTTTGGAACTGTTGTTGATTCAGAAGCAAATCTCATCAAAACAACTTCAGTCAAAATGCAATAAGTAGGTAGGCCAGTGACATAAAGAGAGGATAACTGAGATTGGCGCTTTGGGCAGTTAAGAGAGTGAAAGAAGAGGAGATAGATGGGGAATGGTTTAAAAAGAAATAAAAAGCTGAAACATTACTGCCAGCATTATTTAATTATTTCCGAGTTAACAATGCAAAATGAGGATACACTAAATATAAACCCTTATCTTTAATTATCAAGCCTGTCCTGTTCTACTTGCTCTGGAAAACCTGAAATCAATGGGAATGAACCCTAGCAGCAGTCCAGTTACTAGCAGACTGCATATACGAAAGGAGGGCGACGTACTTTAAAAGAGAATACAACAGAAAGTAATGCAATCTGAGGAGGGGAAAAAAAGCGAGGTTTGTTTCCTTGTCTGTCTGCATCCTGAGCTCACTTTAAATGACAGACTTTTCTTCTCTCTGCATTTCAATTAGACTGTGCCAATGGGCAAGTGGGGAAGGGAATGTTAATGAGGCAGCCGGGGAGCGGGGTGGGAGCCGAGGCTGGCGGCTCCCCGCTCCCGCCGCACACCGGGGAGCGCCGGGCGGCTGCCGGGGTTGTGCCCTGTCACACACGCACTTGACAAGGGGCTATTAAAAGGCTGAGGAGAGAGGGCCACGGAAAATATCTTGTATCGTTTTGGGGAGAGCTTTCCGCCCCGTTCCTCGTTCGCGCACCGGCGACGTTGTCGCGCCCGCCCGCTCCGCGCGGGCTGAGAGGCCGCGGGAGCCCCCGGGGCCGGAGCCGCGGCTCGTCAGGGTGACTTGCATCTTCTCTGCCCCCCGCGCCGGCCGCGGGGGCGGTGGGCTCTGCCGCGGGCGCGATGTGCTCCGCCGGGGGCGCGGCCCGCGCCGCCCCCGCCGCGCCCCGCGGGGCAGCCCCGCGCCCGCCGCCCCCCCGCCCGCCTCCGCGCACAGCCGCGCGCAGGCACGCGGGCGCGCGCCCGCCGCTCGGAAGCCGCTCGGTCCCGGCCGCGCTCGCCGCCGCCGCCCCGCGCTCCCCGCCTCCCGCGCCGCCTGCCCCGCTCGCCGGTGGCGCCTTCCTGCCCTCCCTCCCTCTGCCCCCTCCCTCCCCGTCCCGGCCGCCCGCAGCTCCCAGGTAGGGTCCCCGGGGGTTCCCGCCCGTCGCCGGCAGCGCCTGCCCGCGGCGGGGCTCCGCTGCTGTCCGCAACTTGTCGGTCTGCGGGGGCTGCCCCCCGCCGCCGCCCCGCGCCCCCCTCCACTGCCGCCCGCGGCGCCGGCGGCCGCCGATGCTTTGCCGAGCAGCTGTCAAACGTTCTGGGCGCTCGGCGGCGGCGAGGGCGGCTCGCCCGCGGTCCCCGCACCGAGCCCCGGCGAATGGCATGACTCTGCCTCCCGCCCGCCCCCCCGGCTGCGGTGTGCCGTAGTGAGGCGAGGGGTGGTTAAACCCCCGTCCTCCCATACATACGTTTTTTTATTTTTTGTTCCTCTTCGTCTTGGGGCTTTCACATCACGGAACAGGAAAGCATCTGATGCGCCGGCTCACATGCCACTTCTGATCATACGTTGCCTCTTTGCACAGAGCAGGATCGTTGGGAAAGATGGAGATACAATAAGTTGCTAGTAGTGAAAAGTGCTGCGGAATTTCAGTGGTTTCTCCAGTGAAGTGACATATTTTTCCTCCAGTTAAGTTGAAAGCACTGCTTGGCGGAGACTGTCGTTGAGAGTGGGTTTGTGTTTTTCTTGCACCGTTAGGTTTTGCAAAGAGCGGCGATGAAGAGGAAACTGACACTCTCCGAGATGCAGTTGGTTCTTCTCGTTTTATTGGTGTGGCTACCAACAAGGTGAGAGGATATTTAGTTTTGTTGTTCAGTGCAAACATGTATGTTCCAATCTGTTAAGAATAAGCTTGTGTGAGAGCTTATAAAAGTATAGTATGTCGTAACGTAATGAAAAAATCTTTCTTAGCTGTTTGAATGCAGTATTACACAGTTTTCTGAGCAAATGCAGTAGAATGTAGTTTAGGGACCATAAAAGCCTAGTCTTTTGTCCTTAAACAGTTTGTGAATTCATGCTTTATTTCACCATTAAAACAGCAATTTCTTTAAATGCCTTATTGGATCTTAAAGATTTATTGGAGTTACTGTATAACTGTTATTCTGTTCCATACAGAACAGTCAAGATGGAGAAAGATTATCATGAAGTCACACGGCAAATCACGATCTCTAAAATAATGCTTAAATATTTTGTAATATGGGCATGTCTTTTTTTTTCTTGATTTTTTTTTTTAGTCAAACATAACAGAATTCAAAATGATATTAAAGCTTTAGACCTCTAGGTGGAGATAGCATACAACTTCACAATCACATAAAATAAAACAATAACATAATTTATTAATCAACTTTTCTCGTGTTAAAGTTCTCCATTTCTAAAGTGAGAGCATAAGAGGAAGTAATTTTAATCACATAGTACTTTTGAGTTTCTTGCAGTCCCAAAACTTGTAATTAATTCTAGTTTGTAACTTCAGTTACTTGCTTTGGTTCTTTGGCTGCAGTAGGTCTTGTCCTAATATGGTAAGGGTTGTATGCCAAATAATGCAAGTTTTATATGATTTTAAAAGTCTGCAATTATTTTTGTTTGTTTCCCAGTGAACAAAATATTTCTTGAAACTACATTTTCTATCTCACTTTATACCTAACTATGGTGCAGTATTAGTTGAGTCACAGTGGGCCAGATCCTGCAAACCCTACTCAAGTGAGTAATCTTATTGACGTCAAAGAGACTACATGCGTAATTAAGGAGTTTATGCCTGAGTAAAGTTTGCAGGATTTGACCCTAATTTGATATAATTTTAAGATCTAATTTCTTAGTGGAGTCTTGGGTTCAAAAAACTGTTGTATCTTAAAGAGAGGCTTAAAAATGGCAGAGACTTATGGTACAGAAATACATTTCACAAACAAAAAAATGATCCATCCAATAATTAAAATTAAGAAAAAACTGACACATCAGTAAAATCACACATGACGTTTTGATGTGTTCTTTCGAAGTTATCTGATTTGGGTTGATTATGTGTTTTATGTGGTGGAAAGCACCGACTGCAATGATTTACATTTAAATACTTCCTCTATGCTGTTGAACTGGAGACCAAGATAAAGCCCTGTCTTTAGTCATTTTATAGCTTGCTTTAGAGAAAGCATCACCCAAACCTACTTTTGGTTTGGAGGAGGAAGAAAATATGCTTGCTTTTATGGCATTCAGAATGCCTTGATCAGTAGTTCATTCAGAGATGATAAATACTCAAACATTTCAGGTTAAAAATTTAGATGGCTGGAAAAGGTATAAATGGTAATGCATGTAGCATATGATGCTTTACTCTCTTGATACCAATATACTGGTATTAAGTAGGTAAGACTAATGAGCTCATGCATTTCACATGCATGGTGCTTAAAATTGTTGGCACAGTAACAGTTGCATATGTGAGGCTTTCTGCATGTGAGGGTTTCCCTGACACCAAACCCCTTTGGTCTGGGTGCCCAGGTCCCAGAGGACTGTTAAGCACCATAGCTGCCTGGGCAGCAGGTTCATGTTCCAGTCCCTAGTGTGTTCCACAGAGATTTGACCCATAAAGGCTGTAATGTCTCTTTCTTTATTGGGGAAGTTTGAAACAATTGGTGATCTATAGATTCTTCTTTATTCTTTATTTATTATTTCTTTCTCTATCCAACTTTTATAAGGTTTGTCTGCATCTAGTGGAATATGAGATAATGCTTTTTATGACAAAATAACATTTTAAAAATATGAAGGCTATTCACAGCTATCCTGCAGCTTGCTAGTCAGCATTGTTGTTTCCACCCACCAACTGCTGGCGTCAGAGGACTCCCTGAGCATGATCACTGGAGTTTTCCCTCATGTTAGTTCTTCTGGTCATGTACATTACATGACCATTGGGTGGAAGCATATCCACAGAATTTATCCACAGATAGAGTATACCTAAGTGAGGACAGATAAGACAGAGCTGGAAGGAGATGGTCCTTAAGTGATGTGCCACTGAGGCCTGGGAAGCTCTTTCAGGCTTTTTCACCTACACAGCCAAATGTGTTATTGGAGCTTTGAAACAGCATTCACAGTGAGGCAACGATGACTAGAAGTAGAGACTACTGGAAAATGACTTCCTTGAAATTTTAAATAGTATGTCATTGACTCTTATATTTCTGAACTTCTTGTATATATACATGTAAATTGTATGCTCATATACTGTTAACTACACCCTTCCTGTTAGAGTGCAGCAAGTTAAAGGCCAGCCTGAAAAACCGCATGTTGAGTGTATCTTAAAACATACCTAGCATTTTCTAAAATGTAAAATGTCCATTTAGATCAGTGCTGGCTGACTCCCTGGAAGATGAAGCTAAGAATAACATCACCATCTTTACAAGAATTCTAGACAGACTTCTGGATGGTTATGATAATCGCCTCAGACCTGGATTAGGAGGTAATAAAACCAATTAAAGATTGATTTTTTAAAAATCAATTTTAATGTTCAGATTTTATGCAATGATATTCCTCCTTCGGGGTTTTTTTTTTCCTAACAACTGGTATGTATCTTGATAAATTATTTATAACTACATTCACCCAGATGAATCATTTGAAGTTTGAGGAAGATAACATCTATGAATGGAAAGGAGGCACTTTCACACATTTATCTTAAGTAAAAAGAAAAAAAAATCTGATGATTTAACAAAGTAAACCAGAATGAGAACAAAAATAACATCTAAAGCTGTTATTCCAGCCAGGGAATTTTGGTTGAACAAGGAATGCAGGCTTGATTTCCTGCAATGCGATGAATATATGTTTTTAGAAATCTGCACAAATGTTTTGTGTGGTGTGTGTGAATTCTACACTGTAGATTCATTTATTGGCCCAGTAAATTCATTGGAAATGTATTTTAACTTCCTTGGAACTAGGGTTTCATTGGTAATATAAATTTTGTTTCTGGACACCTTGCACTTATTTAGGCATTTGGAAAAAGAAATAAAGAAATAAGAGAATACTGGAAGACAGAGGTCACTGTACTCTAGTGCCATGATTGTCCACTATTTTTCAAAATGTCAGTTCGTATTTTCATTTTAAAGCTCTATGCCAGCTTATGTCAGTATGTAGGCAAGAAATTTAAAGGTGTTGAAAACATTACTGTGCAAAAAGATCTCTGGTATGGGGAAGGGCTGAATATCTTAGTTTTGATAATATTTTATCTACTATTACTGTATATCTGCTGTTTATGCTAACATTAACATGTATGTATCAAACACTGTTACTATTACTGTTATTATCTGTAAGAGTTTCGATAATTATCATTTTCAAGTGGAAACTGTTTCAGCTTGCTAAAACTAATTCTAGTGCAAAATCCCTGGGAGTCATTCCTATTCCTCTTGATTTCAGTAAGATCGGGCCCAAAGCTAGAGACGTGCTCTACCTTCCATGGAAATTACAGTAACAACTCAGTTTGATCAAATTAGGAATTAGTTAAAGCTCACAGTTTTTATCCAACACTATTCCATCCTAACCTGTGTCTCTGCTGCTCTTCTGGTCCTGGAGAATCATAGCTTGCATCTGACACAGCAGAAAGTGGGAGCTGGCGCTGGCCGGAAACAGCTTTCTCATTATACATTATTTTTAACCTAGGATATCTTTTCATGTCCATTTCTGGCCTCTGTATAATGGAGGCTTGTGAAATATTTTACATTTAAAGACTTTTTAATTTAGATCATACATAAAATGGGACTTATAGCACGGTTGATGTGAGAATTTATATAGTGATATTTTACATGGAATTTTGATTTCTTTGCAAAATACCCAAATTTAAGAATTTAGGCATTGTATACACATACCATGACTTGCAGAAACATTTCATATCACCAAGCTCGTGTTCAGTTGGCAGGTTCTTTATTAGAAAAATAATGAAAGTTTATTTTCTTGTTTACAACAAGCAATGTGCCATTTAATCAGAGCAGTCTGCAGTTCCTTTGCATATCAAATATTCTTTTTAATATTAAAATTTAAATTGTTAAGAACATGATATTAAAAAAAAATCAAATGGATTTTTCTTTTAGATTTTTCATTGAATCTACTTCAAAATACTTTCCTTTTTTCCTGCATGAAGCCTCCTAGGTAATTAAAACATACTTTGGGAGCACAAAAATTAAAGAATTTATATCTGTTTGATATTAGTATGCACAACAATCAACCCATGCAGAACATGTGTGAAATGGAACTGTGTCATGCATATTAAACCGTGATGATTCATGACACATTAATCTTAATCTTCAAGAATACTTCAGTTGTGGATGGATGGATTCCTACAGTTTAAAAGAACACTTGTAAATGCCAGTTGTGATAATCCGTGATATGAAGTATACCAGACAATGCTTTTGTACATAATGCATAGTAATTATGGACTTCTATATTTCAGAAATTTTGTGGCACTTTATCCCTTTTTCTCTATTGACCTATACTCTGAAAAGAGGTGTGGAAATAATTAATTTTTTTCAACACTATGTGCCTTGGCAGTTTCTAAAAGTGTTTT